TCACCTTACAGAAAGAAAGCTGTTAAATATCATTTTTTCCTGGCATTGATTAGGGAAAACGAGCTCATGTCTATATTAAAAAACAAGAAAAAACCTTAAAGGCAGCAATAGTTGGAATTTTTTAAAGATATGATCTATCAGAAGAATGAGCAAATACAATGTAGTGCAGATAGCTAAAGAAAAAACATTGAATGGCATGGGCAAATCTAACATTGTTAATTTAAAAAAAAATAATGCATAGAAAAAAAATCTTAATTCTGTAACAACATTCATACATGCATATATACTCACATGCATAGTTAAAAGCCAGAAAAGTTATGCCAAAATGTTAGATGTGGTTATCTCTGGGTAGTGAGATCAGAGATGATTCTGATAGTCATCTCTATACTCCTCATTGTTTTCCAAAGCCAAAATGTAAAATTAGTTCCATTGTCTGATCTGCTCCTTGGCCTTTTTCATAAGCCTACTTGCAAACTTAAATATATTTATATACAATATTGCAAACACTCTTACATCTTTCTGCTCACACGGTTTCCCAGAAAATAGTGACAAAGTACCAAAGTATGCTAATGGAGAGTAGGATTTCAAAAAGAAAGAAGAGTCTGCACTAATTAAGTATGATGGGCAAGAAGCATTAAGTGACAAGAACTTCTTTGAAAACTTCAAGCCAAACTTCACGAGGCCCTTCTATACGTGAAGAGGAGGCAGGGTGAGGAGGGGGCTGGTAGGCTAAATGTTAATCCAGTAGAATAAATAACAAAAGCCAAAAGAAGCCTATTAAAATATATAGATTCATGAAACTAAAGGTAAAATTTTTTTTTTTTAAAGATTTTATTTATTTATTTGAGAGAGCAAGAATGAGAGAGAGTACATGAGAGGGGGGAGGGTCAGAGGGAGAAGCAGGCTCCTCGCTGAGCAGGGAGCCCCATGCGGGACTCGATCCCGGGACTCCAGGATCATGACCTGAGCCGAAGGCAGTCGCTTAACCAACTGAGCCACCCAGGCGCCCCTAAAGGTAAAATTTTACTGCTCAAAAGTTATATTTATGTCAGATTCAGTAAGAAATGTTCTTTGTAGGGCAATGACTCTCAACCCTATCAGACTAATGCTTATCTTTACAATATTTTGTAAGTTTCCCTTCACTATCTTGCTATGATATTCACAGAAATAGAGCCTAATTACATACACAGTTTCAAAGCCAAACAAATATACCGCCGTAACAATAATATGAAGGAGGATAATATAAAAAAAGAAAGTAAATTTAATAAAGGAATACATAATTTAAAATGTAACTGCTCTGGCAGGCTGACACAGGAAGGCAAAATTTCTAAAAGGCCTTGAAGGAAATGGTGCTATACAACAAAGAATTGCTTGCAGATAGCAATGAAGACGTGGCAAATTGGTCACACTGTAGATGTCTTGTAAATCACCAAAATTTCATGAAATTACAAAGAAAATGTATTTGTAAAGACATCCTGATTGTTGATTGTTGACGACTAATTCCACTTTGGAACACATAATTTAAATTGTCTTTAATCATTAGACCAATGTAAGAATGTTGAGCTCCCCACACTGAATACACCTAAACTGAAACATTAAACACATATGAAGACTTTATATTTTCCGAATTAGGGTATTTGTCAGATATCCCCAAATGAGCATCCTACCATCTACAGATTCAATCAATAGCTTACACTCATTAGGGAAGTGGTGTGGGATATCGAGAGTGATGATACATGTCATTGGTCAAGATGCTTAACTTCTCTGAATCACAGATTATATAAAGGGGATAATAATGGCTACTTCTGAAGGCTGTGAAGGTTTTTTTAATGTATATAAAGCATCTCAATAAATAATTGGCAGTGAGACGTACCATTGACAAGAACACTTCCATAGAGTCTATATGGTTTCTTAAGATTGGTGCCTACATATCAGGACAAATTCTTTTATAAGTGACAAAAGAAAAAGGTCTCAACACTAGGATCTTGGGAAGATAGATCTTTAAGACAAAAGATCTTGAAAGACACAGACATCAAGAAGTTGGACTTCCAAAATTCAAGCCTTAATTAAGTAGGGTTGTGAAGGCTAGAAACTCCAATGATGGCTTCCATTATTTCAGACTGCAGTGTCTGAGGAACGTTCTGAAGGCTAAGCATTCCTGAATGATATAGTGATTTAGTCAGTCCCCAGTATGTGCCCCACCACCCTACCCTTCTCTCCATATACTCATCCTTCTTAGGGCACTTCTTTTCTTCATCAGTAGGGTAGAAATTAATATAGCCTCATTCAATAAGGCAGTTTGTGATCGAGGCTACACTGAGGCTACCCTCTTTGCGGCTAAAGGTATTTCTTGAATACTGTGCTAAAAATGTAACTGCATTCTTCAACCAATGCAAACATGTTCTAATTGATGGGAGGGGGGAAAAAATTCAATCCAGAGCACCAGCAATTCCTCTGTGAGCTGGCGTGGCAGGGAGAGTGTGGGGATCAGTGAAGCATCAAGTTACAGACCAAATTAAAGGTCTGAAAGAGAGTGGCAGGGTCTAATCATCTACAGTCTGAGCTGCCAGACTTGGATCTACCACCCTTACTCGCTCACAAAGGACTGCTCCATGTATGCTAAGCACACAGCTAAGGGCTCCAAATATCTTTTATTAAAAAGGCCTTCAGTTCCAAATAGATCTTTATGGAATTATTTCCTTGAAGTTTTTAGTTCTGTCATATTAAAATTTCCATGAAAAAGTAATCAAAACCTAATGCTTACAGTGTTCTGCCACAGAGAAAAATATTGTGGGGTTTTGTTGCTATTAAAAACATGTGTTACATATATATACATAATTATGTAAGTCCCAGACCCAGTGTACACACATGTATACAAAAACCTTAGGAAAATAATGATAATAGTTTTGCCTAAGCCAACAAAATCCATAACATAATATTGTCTATAACATCCCTCATTAAGCCGATGCTTTGAAAAGGTCAGCAAACAATGAATATTTCTGCATATTTTGTGGCACAGCCTGCAAACACTAGATCCATAGGGATGAATTAAGGTCACTTTTAAAATTCAAAAAATTCGAGAATTTAAAATTCTTGACTTGGTTGGCTGAATCGTGCGCATCTGCACTCTTTTTCCTAGGGGAAAGTTAATTTTAGAAAGGAGAAAAAGGTTGCCAGGAAAACAATCATATTGGCTCAATACCTAGACAGTGACTCTTTTCTTAAAAGTTCAAAATGCTTTACAGTCTCCTACTTGTCCTTAATATCCTTGAAAGCAGGTACCAAATACCATTCCTACTTCATAATGAGCATCTCATTTCATAAAAAGTGGTATGATTTAATATGATACCTACTGAATGGTATTTTTTTTTTAAATGAGTCCTTTACCTCAATTTTCCAAAGACAGATAAAATAAAAATATTTCTTTACCCTGGTAGTTACTCTGAGAGTTTTGTAGGCACTTAGAACGGTTCAGATACGCATATATATGAAAAGCAGCAGAAGTACATCTATGACAAAGAGCAAGATGGAGAAACATTTAGTATCTGTGTAAATTCAAGTACAACCTAATGTACAGACGCTCTTGGGGTGCCTGGGTGGCTCAGCCGTTAAGTGCCTGCCTTCAGCTCAGGTCATGATCCCAGGGTCCTGGGATCAAGCCCCTCTCCCTCTCCCCCTGCTTATGTTCCCTCTCTTCGCTGTGTCTCTCTCTGTCAAATAAATAAATAAAATCTTAAAAAAAAAAAAAAAAAAATTTACAGACGCTCTTAACCAGTTCAGGGTAGAAGAGTTTGGTTCAAATAATTAGGAATGTGAACAGAATCTAAATTAATTTATATGATAATTCCTCCTTCTGGTTCCTAGAGATTCAGTGCATTTGGATCTTCGGCTTTAAAGTAACCAACATGTAGAGTCACCAGCCGTCACTGATGCAAACACAGTGAAGAAGATTTTCTGATTTCCAGGGGAATAGGCCTCAGTCCTTTCTAATCGCCAGCATACTTTTGAAGGAATTCTTACATTGAAAAAAAAAAATTGATGTTTAAAAGCTAACTCCTTAACGAGGGCTCTTAGAAGTATGCTATTTCTCTCCACCCTCTATTTGAGTTTCAAATCAACGTTAATCCTCCGTTCCCAAAATTGCCAACTCAGAACCAACCGCCCCACCAAATTCATCAACTGGAAAGAAATCAGCCTTAACAGTTGGGTGTCCCGTCTCCCTCCTCTGCGGACCTTTAAGATACGTCGAAGAGATTATGGGGGGGAGAGCACATCGCAGACACAGAAGCCTGCGGGTGCACACCGCGCCCCCCCGCCCCCGTTTCTGAATCGGTGTCTGAGCGCTGGAGTGGGAGCTACTGCTTCAGGCTGTGATAAAGTTCTAGTAACACCGCATTCACCCAGAAAACCTAGTAAACTCATCACACTATTTAATTTTCAGGGAAGAAAAAAAAAACACAACCCAAAGAGCCTCAACCTACTGTTCGGGGCAGATAGGAAAGATAAGACGGCACACCTACTTTGACCAAGGGTTATTATCGCCCTCCTCAAAGTTCGGGTAGAAACAGAAGTGGGGGGGTATGTTTCGGAAGGAGCGCCGCTGTGATATTCCAAGCTGGGGAAATTACTGCGGAGTCTAGGGGAGAACTGTGCGCGGGTGCTTGAGCCACACACCTGGAGACGGGGTAAGACCTCCCGCCTGCCCTCCCACCTTCTCCCCTCGAGCCCGATCGCGGGGTTTCGGGGGCTGCCGGGAGGCGGGAGAAGGGGAACAAGAGAGGGGGGAGGGGGGCAAGGAGACGGGGGGTAACAGCGCAGCTGGCGGAGGGTCGGGGTCCCCGCCGCCCGTCCCCCGCCCCTCCGCCCCGACCCGGGGCTCGCCCGGCGCGCAGGAGACCCGGGGGTGCGGGCGGTGGCGCGAGCGACGGAGGCCGCACCCGCATCTGGTGCGGCTGGCCCGGCAGGGCTCGGACCAGGGCGCACCCCGCGCCCCTGCTTACCTTGCGCGCGAGGTCCGAGTCCCGAGCAGGGACACAGGGAGCGGCCGCCGTCAGCTCCTCGGGGCAGCGCTTCAGGTATCACTGGCGCGCGGGTCTCCTAGTTACCGGCCACCCCGCGCGCCCCGGGCCCCCTCCTCTGGCCCTCGCCCCCGGCGCCCGCCCGCTCTTCCCCGCTCCGGCCGCCCTCCGCCGCGCTCCCCTTCTCCCCCTGCTGTTTATTCCGGAGAGCGGTGGCCCCTCTCCCGAGCCTTCCCTCCCCCAGCGCGTGCGCGCACACACCTCCCCCAGAAAACGCGCTCTTAAGGGGCCGCGATGGTGGTCCTGGAAATTCTGGGACGGGCGATCTCAGAAAAACCCTTTTAAAATCTTGGATCTACCCAGTGAGGTTCAAGGGAGGCTCCACTTCCAATCGTCCCTGCCTCCATCCCCCCCACAACATCACTGAACGCTTGATATTCATGGAGCTTGTGCTCTGAGGATCTCCGGCCAGTCATTTTAATTTTTCCAAAAGAACGCCTTCCATTTTACTGTTTTAAAAATGTAGACGTCTCCACTATCAACTTGGGTTGCCGGGACTTTAGATTGGCCTCGAGAAGGTTATGTTCAGCTGTACAAGACAGGGCAGGTCTCTTGCCAGCAGTGTTGATACCTGCCACCTGTTAGGGCCCAAGTTTAGGCGAGAGCAGTTAATTACACCTGGCTGTGATTACTGAGCATGACTGCAGCCTCCGTTTCTCAGGAAGAGAGACACTTCTGAAGCCAAAGTTCTGGAAAGGAGCCGGTGGATGTATTCAAAGAGAGTTCGAAGGCCGACGAACCAGCACCGGGCAGGGCATACCGAATAACACAAAAGATAAGAACCATGGGAAGGCATCTGTGAAAACATCACTGTATCATTAACATGCAGGGGCTCGGAGTGACATAATCCCTATGGGGAATGTGGAAGGTGATTTGTTAAATGGCGCTCCATGTGTTCATTCATTCCTTTACCTATCAATATGATGTATATTTATGGAGTAGGTTAGAGGCAGTGTAGCATTATTCATAGTCGGTCATGCCAGTCATAACTTAAATGATGCTAGGAATTACCTTAAGAAGCAACTAGTTTATAACAGAGCCTGGAAAATGCAAATAGCTATTAAAGAGACTCTGACCTTTGTATTTATTCTGCCAATATTTATTAAATGCTTGCTGGTTCAAGATACTGCTGGGTGCTAGGGGTAGAAAAGTTAACAGGAAAGGCAACATCCCTAACCTCAGGGAAATGAACAGAGGGATACACATGTGAACAGGCTGTTAAAAGCAGATGCTCTGGGACACCTGGGTGGCTCAGTCATCAAGCATCTGCCTTCGGGTCAAGTCATGATCCCAGGGTCCTGGGATTGAGCCCCGCATCGGGCTCCCTGCTCAGCGGGGAGTCTGCTTCTCCCTCTCCCACTCCCCCTGCTCATGCTCTCTCTCTCTCTCAGTCTCTCTCCCAAATAAATAAAATCTTAAAAAACGAATAAATAAAAGCAGATGCTCTGATGGCGGGTGGCGCACAAGGAGGGCAGTATACATGAAACCCAGAGGAAGTAGCTTTTAAGCTGAGACCTGAAGAGTGAATGTAACTTGGCCAGGGACAGGAGAGTAGGAGAGTTTCCTAGTAAGGGGAGAGCGTGGACAGAAAGCCAAAGGTAAGAAAGAACATGGCAGTTCAATGAATTTCAAGAAGCTCATTATGGCTGTTGGATTCCTTTTTGGAGGAGCGAGTGCCCGTGGTTGGGAGGAAGAATGGAGAGACACAGCTAGGGAGGTAAGCAGAGGCAAGATCATGTAGAGTCCGCTAGGCTATGTTTTTAAAATTGCATTTGATTCCACAGACAACAGGGAGGCACTGAAATGTTACAAGCAAGGTCACAATGAGATCAGCTTTTTGCTTGAGAAAGACTATGGGCTGTAAGCAGAGAACAGTTGAGGGTGGGGGGTAGGGATTTGAGGGACTTGGAGAAGAGCTCCAGAAGGACCACATGCTCAGTGACTACCACGATACAGATCCTCATGCCTTTGAGGCATCTAAGTTCAGTCCTATGACAAGTCCCTGGAGAGACAAACGTTTCCTGAAGGGACTCATGGGGGTCCGCGGTGGTAAGCAATGAGAAACAACGGAGGTAAACGGACATTAGAGATAGAAAATGTTGTTTATTATTATACATTTTATTATACAAAATATACATTTTATTATACGGTAACTCATACAGTTCAAGGATAGAAAGCATGCTGGATTTGTAACTGACTGGTAGAATAAAGGAGAATTTGACACACAGGAGATCACTTTGATATATATTTCAAAGGTCCTACTGTGCGACAGCAGACAAGCACGCTCCTGCCCCAGCTCCACTCTCCTTTTAAGAGTTATTTGATTCCTATTATCTTGTGCTCCTACCATCTAATCATTTTATGACCTTCCTCAGTTTGAACCCATGTGTCTGAAATCCAGGTTCACACTACTTCTACTAGGCCATGCTCTCTGGATTTGCTAAGGTCTAGACATCTACGGCTGGGAGCTCAATTACTTTGCTGCAACCATGGTGGGCTGTAATCGGGTCTAAAGGAAAGCGTGAGTGCCAGGGCTGGGGCGTTGGGAGGCACTGGGGCTCCTGCTGGGTCCCCCCACCTGACTCTGAGAGCAAATGGGCATAGGTAAAAGCAGCGGGAGGGGTCTGGGGGGACTGGGGAGCAGGCTGACCTTAGGTCAGCAGAGCCACAGCAGGACAGGCAAACATTTTTTTCTTAATTTTATTTATTTTTAAGTAATCTCTACATCCAACGTGAGGCCAGAACTCACAACTCCGAGATCAAGAGTAGCATGCTCTCCCCACTGAGCCAGCCAGGCGCCCCAGGACAGCCCAATGTTTTACCCCAGAGCACTCTCTTCAGTCGTCTTTGTTGTTGTTGTTTTAAGATGATCTACTGCCTTCTCTCTTTCTCTCTCCAGTTCTATTCTCATTAATTTTCCCTCCTATTTTTTCATTTGTTTCTCCTCTCTTTAACTCTCTCTCCTCTATCCTTTCTTCCTTCCTTCCTTGATTCATTCCACAAATATTTTTGTATTGAGTAGCGTTTTGTATCTCAATAGGAAGTGCTGGATATACAAAGATGACCAAGGGAGGTCCTTATCCTTGAATTTGTAGTCGGTGGATGTATGAATTAGGACACTATGGCTGCCAGTAACAGAAATGCAGTAGCAGGCCTGTCACCTGGACACTGAAGGCGTGGATACAGACAGGCTTCCTCAACAATGGAGAACAGGGAATTAAGTATAATCATGAATCTTTGTTCTTCCCTTATCCTAATTCACTTTCATCGTCATTCTCTCTCTCTCAATTCCAAATGGAGATTGAGGGGATTAACCGGCCTTCCCTGGGTCAGATGGCCAGTCGGGGGGACGAGGTGTCAGGGTCATGATGTAAACACATGCCCGCAAGAGTTCTTCATGGAACTACATAGATGGTGGCCAGCACAGAATTGGAGATGAAAAGGGAGGGGTGTTTGAGGAGTCAGGAGTGAGGCAGCTCTTCAGAAAGAGAGCTCTAGGCAGGCAACTTAATGAATGTTTACTATAAGGGTAGACACATAAATAATTACAGTATAATTTCATAAGTGCTGTAATAAAGATATGAATAAAGGTACTAAAAGAACAAAGTGCAGGGGGAGGAGGAGTCTCAACGTCAGAGACACGAGGAATGTTTCACAGAGAAGGCAACGATTTGAGTCATGACAGCTTAATTTATGTTTGCCAGACAAGACACTAGCTAGTCTGTAGAATTTGCAAGACTTTTCAGTGAGGTGAAGGCTTCAGGCTGAGACCAGAAAGGAGTCTAGGACAGCAGTTAGGGAGAGAGCTAATAAGGCCCAAAAGATAAGGAGAGGTGTGTGAGACATCTAGAGATTTAGAATCCAGAGGACTTGACGTGGGGAGTTGGGAAAAGGGAGAAGCCAAAGATGACTTCTTCAGATATTCAAGTCTGAGCCACAAGGTGGACAACAAAGCGATGAAATCAATCAGTAGAAAAGGAAGAGATTTGCTAGAGAAGAGAATGGGTTTCATTTTCGATATGTTGATTTCAGATATTGACAGGATATTGAGTGAAGAAATCCAACAGTTGATGAGTAGGATACTCAAAGAGAAAGTAAGTTGCTAAATACATTGATTTCGACTTTATCGATTTAGAGGTCATTGATACCATGGGTATGGATGGGAGCACCCAGAGAAATCATATGTAAGGAAAAGAGCCAAGAACCTATGGGGCTCCCTGAAGAACATCAACATCAACAGATGCGATACCCAGCAGAGAAGAACCGAGAGAAAGCAATGTCATGTGAGGACACTGTCATACAAGAGAAAGGGTTTTTGAAAGAAGGGGATAGTGGGGCCCTGGCTGGCTCAGTTAGTAGAGCATATGACTCTTGATCTTGGGGTTGTGAGTTCGGGCCCCACATTGGGTGTAGAGATTACTTAAAAATCAATAAACTTAAAAAAAAGAAGGGGATGGTAAGTAGTGTCAAATGCTGTAGAGAAATTAAGCAATGTTTTTTTTTTCTTTAAAGATTTTATTTATTTATTTGAGAGAGAGAGACTGAGAGAGAGAGCACATGAGAGGGGGGAGGGTCGGGAGGGTCAGAGGGAGAAGCAGACTCCCTGCCAAGCAGGGAGCCCGATGCGGGACTCAATCCAGGGACTCCAGGATCATGACCTGAGCCGAAGGCAGTCGCTTAACCAACTGAGCCACCCAGGCGCCCAAAATTAAGCAATGTTATAGGACTATTCAAAAGAAGCCTTTCAATTGCCTCTTTGGGGATGATTGTTGGTCTTGATGAGAGCAGTTTTGCAGAGCACTAGGAAAATACATTGCATTCTATCAGGGTTTCTCAATCTCAGCAACACTGAGGTTTTGAACCAGATAAATCTTTGTTGTGAGGGCTGTCTTGTGTATTAGAGGATTTTTAGCAGCATCCTGGGCCTCTTCCCACTGAATGGCAGTAGCTCCTCCCCAAGTTGTGACAACTGAAAATGTCTCCAGGCAATGTCAAATCCCCTGAGGGCAAAATTCCCACCCCCATCCCACTTCAGAACTACTGCATTAAACTGAGAT